ACAGGCGCCCGCCACAATGCCCGGCTATGTTTTAGTTGTAGCTGTCGTTGTTTGCTGGGCCCAGGCTGGATTCGAACCCACCACCTTAGTTGTATGTGGCTGGCGCCTTAGCCACTTGAGCCACAGGTGCCGAGCCCAGTAATTCTTTATAACTGTGCTGTCCGGTAGAACTTTATGCATTGAGGGAAATGTTTTGCAGTTTGCCCTGTCCAGTACAGTAGCTACTAGCCTCAAGTGATTATTGGACAATTAAAATGTGACTAGTATGACTAAACGGCTGAATTTTATTTTGATTTAATTTTTCTTTTTAAAAAAAATATTCTTTGCAGCCGGCACCTGTGGCTCAGTGAGTAGGGCACCAGCTGCATATACTGAGGGTGGCAGGTTCAAACCTGGACCAGCCAAACTGCAGCAAAAAAATAGATGAGTGTTGTGGCGGGTGCCTGTAGTCCTAGCTACTCGGGAGGCTGAGGCAAGATTGCAATCTCCTAAGCCCAGGAGAGATTGTTGTGAGTTGTGATGCCAAAGCACTCTACCAAGGGCAACAAAATGAGACTCTGTCTCAAAAAATATATATATCCTTTGCGGCTTGGCACTTGTAGCTCAAGCAGCTAAGGTGCCGGCCACACACACTAGATCTGGTGGGTTCAAATTCAGCCCAGGCCTGCCAAACAGCAATGATAACTACAACCAAAAAAATGGCTGGGTGTGTGGTGGGCACCAGTAGTCCCAGTTACTTGGGAGGCTGAGGCAAGAGAATCACTTAAGCTCAGGAGTTGGAGGTTGCTGTGAGCTATGATGATACGGCACTCTACCTAGGGTGACAGCTTGAGGTTCTGTTCCCTCAGAATATGTATTATATGTATATATATCCTTTGGATATTTCCATATTTTGATTTAATCTTAATTAATTTAAAGAGTTGTATGTTGTTTGTGGCTACCATATTGGGCAGCAGAGGCCTAAAATATTTGGTAGAAGTTTTTTTGGTTTTTTTTTTTTGTTGTTTGTTTGTTTTTGAGACAGAGCCTCAAGCTGTCCCCCTGGGTAGAGTGCCATGGCATTACAGCTCACAGCAACCTCCAACTCCTGGGCTCAAGCGAGTCTCTTGCCTCCGCCTCCCAAGTAGCTGGCACTATAGGCGCCCGCCACAACGCCCGGCTATTTTTTGGTTGCAGCCGTCATTGTTGTTTGGCAGGTTCGGGCTGGGGATTCGAACCCACCACCTTAGGTGTACGTGGCTGGCGCCTTAGCCGGTTGAGCTATAGGCGCCGAGCCTTGTTGTTTGTTTTTTAAGACAGAGTCTCACTCTGTTGCCTTGGGTTGAGTGCCATGGCATCATAGCTCAGAGGGTTTCACTCTTGATCAGGCTGATCTAGAGTTCCCGAGTCACCTACCTTGGCCTCCCCAAGTGCTAGGATTATAGGTGTGAGCCACGACGCCTGGCTGGAAATTCTATTCTTAATAACTGTATGTTGAATCACAACTGTCTTGCAATAATAACTGTGAAATTTTAGATCCCTTAAATTTTAAAACCTAAGTGAACTGAATTTTAATTTCTCTGAAATTAAACTTGGTTGGAACCTCATTAAATGCAGAAAGCTTTTGAAGAATCTGGCACAGAGTTTTTTTATAACAGAAATGTTGACTATACAAGGCTGGCTGGCTGTTATTTTCAGATTTTTTTGGACAGGTTCCCCAGTATTCAATTATTTAGAGAAATACTAGGTTCCTGTTAGGTCTCCTAGATTAATAGCCCTGCTTTGAAGAACCTGATCAAAAAAAGGTACCCAAATTCCTAAGATTTTTTTTGCTTGTTTGTTTTGTTTGTTATTAATTATCATTGATGTTACTTTTTGGAAAGATAAAGGAAAGAGGTAGATCAGTAATTTATTTGTTATGAGAGTCAAATAATTTCTGTAGTCAAATGTTATATTAGTAGTTATGTTCAAATTGTGTTTTATTTCATTTTTATGACTGCAGGTAAAGGTTGACTTAATTGAACTCTCTGAAAAGTGCTGCAGTGATTTTGATTTGCACTCAGAATTAGAGCGCTCATTTTTGTCAGAACCATCATCTCCTGGAAGAACCAAAACTACTAAAGGATTCAAACTTGGGAAGCACAAGCATGAGACCTTTATAACTTCAAGGTAAATTTTATTCTGCTGAAGATCTTAATTGTGGTCACATAAGCTTATTTATTTTAATATATTTTAAGATGGACATAAGGCTGTTAAACAAAGGAGGACATTGACAAAGTACTTGAATCATGAATGTTGTTTGGATTTGTTTTTAAAGATAATTTTATAGTATATCCCAGTATATGTATTTGTTACATTGTTTTTTATAAGATTTTGGAAGGCTTGAATAGGAGGTGACCTGGATTATTTAGAATCATTGTTATTCATAGCAATATAATGATAAGTAGCATTCTTAGCTAGTTTGTTGGACTGTGCCAGAAAGTAAGATAGATACTTGCAAAGTTAACAGAATTAAAATAAGAAAAAATTGAAATCTAGGTTTCAGTATTATAAAGTTTGACTATAATGTTTTTACTTGGAAATCTGAAAAAAGAAAAATTTTTCATGGAGTGTTTTTGTTTTAATAGTGGAAAATCTGAGTACATTGAACCTGCCAAACGAGCTCATGTTGTGCCACCACCAAGAGGAAGGGGCAGGGGAGGATTTGGACAGGGTATACGACCTCATGATATTTTTCGCCAGAGAAAACAGAACACAAGTAGACCACCATCTATGCATGTGGATGACTTTGTTGCAGCTGAAAGTAAAGAAGTAGTCCCTCAAGATGGAATACCCCCACCAAAACGACCACTCAAAGTATCACAGAAGATTTCTTCTCGTGGTGGGTTTTCAGGCAGTCGAGGAGGACGGGGTGCTTTCCACAGTCAGAATAGGTTTTTCACACCACCTGCTTCAAAAGGTAATGACTAATAGTTAGAATGTTGGAATATAACGAAATTCAATGGAAGTGATTCTGATGAAGAGATTCAGATAAAGTATTTTCCTTTACAGTTGAACTGTCTCTAGACCAGTGGTATTATTTGCATGGTATGCTCTTGTATAAAAGGAGGAGACTTTTTTTTTTAAGTTAGCCTTTGATACATTACATTTTAGTGTTGAATTTAAAAGAAATCTTGGCTGATAATTTCCTTTTTACATTGAAAACTTTATTCTTTCTGAGTAACATCCACATTTATTTTCACAATTATAATTTCCTTAAGATTGTTCGTATATTTCTCCATTGTTTCACTTGATCTGTTTACTTCTTAGTTATTATATTTAATGTTTTCAATTGTTTCAAGATTTTAGAAACTGAAATGCTTAAAGAAATTATATGGATTGATGACATGTTTTCACATCAGCTAAGTTAGAGTGGGAGTGAAAGAGAACAGGAGTTTACATTAATAGCAAACACTTAGGGGTGTCAGTAACTATTATAGACACTTTACATATAATACCCTCACATCCTCATGATGTAGATTCTCTTAGTACCCTTACTGCAGAAGAGAAATTTTCTTTTTTTTTTTTTTAATTTGAAACAGAGTCTCACTTTGTCGCTCTTGGTAGAGTGCCCTGGCCTTATCATAGCTCACAGCAACCTCAAACTCTTGGGCTTAAGTGATCCTCTTGACTTAGCCTCCCAAGTAGCTGGGACTATAGGTGCCCACCACTATGCCTGCCTATTTTTCTTTTTTAGAGGTGGGATTTCACTGTGGCTCAGGGTAGTCTCAAACTCCTGAGCTCAAGCAATCCACCTACCTCAGCCTCCCAAAGTGCTGGGACAGAAGAGAAAATTGTCAGCTGACCAGGATACATAAATAGAAGTGGCAGAACCACTTATTGAACTCTGGCAATCTGGCATTAGAGCCTTTGCTCTTAAACACTGGGTCATGTTGCCTGCTGTGTAGTAAATGTAGTGTATTCAGCTTATAGAATTTTTTTTTTTTGAGATAACATCTCACTATGTCACCCTCAGTAGAGTGCTGTGGTGTCACAGCTGACAGCAACCTCGAACTCTTGAGTTTAAGCGATTCTCTTGCCTTAGCCTCCCA